TCGTCTTGTCCAGCATTCCGAGCGTGCGGATGGTCCTTGGTCGGCGTCCGCTCACCCGAGGTACTCGTGCGCTCGTCATCCCTGGTGTCAGCCCTGTGCGTTGTGCCTAGTCGGGCCCGTGTTGGGTCAACCTGACACCCTCCCTCGCACAGGTACGTGGTGACCCGCGCCATTTTGGCTTGTGTCGCGGCTACGCCGCTTCCCCGCACTCGTGCGTAATGCTGCCAGGGGTCTCTCGGCTTCCGCCACCCTGGGAGTTGCAGCCTGCCAGCGCTCTCGCCTCCTAGCAACAATTCCTTGGCCGACGGTCCTTTGGACCACCCTGCTTCTCGCGCTTCGCGACGTCCGGGGCCTCGCCTTTGCAGTTCTTTTTCCTACCTCGACCGACGTTTCGTTGGCCACGGCCACCCTGGTGCACACGCAGTCGTCTGAGGTACGGTATCACGTTTTCTCTCTCTCTCTCTCTCTCGGAGTTGTCCCTGGCCGTCGTTGACTTTCCGACGTTTGGCGCCTCCGACGGCCTTGCAGCTTTGCGCGCTGGCAGTTCCCTTCAGTCTCAGTCCCGCACCCACCCATTTGAGGCCTCGGCCGCGCTTAGCCGTCGCCTCGCGCGTTGCTCCGTTTGTTTCTCTTGCGTTTCCTTTGCCAAATTAGTTTCTGCGTAGCCCGCTTTGACCTGACTCGCCGCCTGCGCGCTCGACCGCGGCCGCTGACTAAGAAAACAAACAGAAACCACACCAGCCCATCCAGAAACGATGCACAGAGGAGTTGCCTCGATCAGGGAAGTGGGCAGCACGCAGAGGAAGGGTCCTTAGTGGAAGCCTCTTGGAACGACTCGGGGGCTTCTTGGCGGTCCTGGAGGTCTCTTGGAGCGTCTTGGGTGCCTCGGGGAGCTTCTTGGAGCCTCTTGGGGGTCTCTGGGGATCCTCTTGGAGGCCTCCTGGGCGCGTCTTGGGGCCTCCTGGGCGCCTCTTGGGGCTCTCTGGAAGCGCTGTTGGGAGCATTGGAAGCGCTCCTGGGGCCATCTTGGGGGACACCGATCAACCAAGAGGGGGGCTTTAATTAGCGGTGCCCGCCCAAGAGGCCAAAATGGGGCCAAACCGTTTGTAAAAAACAGTGATTGTGGCTTCCACGCCGAGGCCGTTTTGGACGCCCTGACGCCTCGCGACTGGCCCCGTCCAGGTCCAGGGTAAGGGGGTAGGGGGAGGGGTGAACCTTTCCCCGAAGGGGAATAGGGGCAGACGAAACACAACACACCCTAGACAACCGACGCCGTAAAGGGCTGGTGGGATTCTCTAAGGTCGGTTCGCGTCGTGTCGACCGGCGGCGACTTCGCCGCTGGTGTTCAACGTTGAACGCCGTCGGCGACCCAGGATCGGTCGATGTTGAACGATCTGACGTTTCGGAAGTGCTCGATCGTTCAAGGTTGAGCGATCCCCGCGGTGTCAGAAACCAGCGCCGAAGTTGGCGCGACACGACCCTGCCGTGACACGTATGTCCATTGTTCCCGCTGTAGGGTAGGCTCCTACATTTCTGGGGCCGAAGCGGGGGGCGAGGATTCGCGACGAGGTAGCCGGAGAAGAGGCGTCTTCTTCCAGGCTGCCATCCTCGTTTCGGGGCCAGCCAGAAGTGGAGGGTGACGACTTGCGCGGGGTGGATCTCAATGGCCGGGGCCATGAGATTTCCCCTGATCTCATGGCCCCTCTTCTGCTTTCCAGGCGTTCCCTGGCCTCCCCTCGTCCGTGCTAGTGCCTCGGGCCATGATTTGGGAACCCCCCTGCTGGGATGCCGCCCCCCTCGGACGCCCCCGATCTGTCCCACGAGCATCCGAACCGCGAAGCCAGACCCCACTGTGTCGCGCTGGTCAAAGCTTCGCCATTTGCCTCTCCTCTTCAGAAGCGTCAGGACCACCAGGCCAGACCCCCACTGGGTCGCGCAAGCCAGAGCTCGACCGCTTCCCCTTCTCCCCGCCCTGCTCTGATGCGGCAGCGGTGGCACCGAGCACGCGGGAGTCCTCCAACACCGATGTTCTCCCGCGTGCAGCCTCTGCTTGAGCTTCAAAGCGCTGACGTGACAGGAGCTCTCGTGCTGATGACGAGCTGGTTCACACACCCTTTGAGATCGCACACAGTCAACACGCTGCAAGAAAACCCACTTGGGCTCGAGAGGGGCTCTGGTTTGTGAAACCCATTCGTGTCCGAAGCTCGACGATGACCGTACCGTTTTTGTCGTTCTTCGGCTTGCAGTCGTGCTCCATCTTCCGCCCGACTGATCGATGTGATGTCGTCGGTCTGGCCCGCGCCGCCGCCGTAATGCGGCAGGCTCGCGCCGCGTCGGCGCGGGTGCGACAGCGGCGCGGGCGCTCGAGACACACATCGGGCGGTGCGTGGTGGGGGCGGTGATGAATGGGGGGGGTGAAGAAAGGTGCACGTTTTTTGCCCGAGGGCCTCCCCTGTCGCTGGCCCCATGGGGCCCACAAGGGTTGCAGAAGGTGTACGTTTCTCGCCCCCCCCCGTTACGCAACGCCCAAATGCAGGCCAGCGGCGGCCTGGGCCAGGCCTACCGTCCGTCACCGCCCACGAAACCACTGCAACCCAACCCGAAGGCCCCGATTTGCCCTCCATTTCCAGTGGTGGGGGGAGGGGGAACATGGAGCAAACAAGTATGAAGCTCGTATACTCCCCCCCTCAACCCGAAATTCGGGTCTTCGGCCTGGGCTGGGGTTGTCTGGTAGGCAGTCCTACCCCGAGCGACCGCCGCCGCCGGGCAGCGGGGATCGCTCCATGTGGAGTGGTCGGCCCGACGGGGGCCCGACGTCGTAGAGAGCCAGGCGTCGGCACAGAGCGCCAGCCTGATGCACACGTGCCCCTATTCCCGAGCTTGGGCATCGCGCTGGAGGAGGAGGAGGAGGAGGAGGAGGAGGAGGAGGAGGACGTAAACGGAGCAGGGGTCAGGAGAAGGAGGGGCCGGAAGGCTCGGTGCGAGCTTTCGGATTTTCAGAATTTCTGAGGGCACGTCCCTGAGATTGTCATCGCCTTGGGCTTGCCGTTCTGAGGGATAGGGGACATCCTGGGGCTGGCCAATGGACGATAGCGACGGAGGGAAACGGGGTCGAATGCTGCGCCAATATTCGCGCGTAAGCTGCCTGCGTAAGGTCGCGTGTAAGCGGCCTTGTTTCCGATGCAGCGTGCCGCGTTGGCGGCCCGCGTGAGCAACAGCGTCACGTAGCTATGCCATCATGCGTGAGACCTGTTTCTGTTTGTCCCTCGCCTCGCGAGGCATGGGTCTCCCCGTAAGGCGCAATGCGCTTGGGACCCATACCTCCAATGTCTTGATCAAATCAAGACGGAGGTTTTTTCGTCTTTTCCGACGTCTGGGGGCCTCGGCGGGCCCTCGGGCCGTCCAACAACGATCCGGGACGAAAAGCCGGTCCACAGGAAGGTGTCTTGAGTTTTTGGAGGAGCCCGTGCTAAAGTAAGCGAAGAAGACATCAAGGATCTGGGGAGACGAGAGGCGTACGCGGCGGGATGCCTTGCGTTTCCGGGGTTCGCCCCTCGCGGGCACGAGACACCCCCCCGCCGCTGTGAGAGGCGAGGGGGGCGCGCGGACCAGGGGTGTCAATGGAGGGGGAAGGGCTGGCGCCGTCCCGTGAAGCCCGCGCAGACCCCGGAGCGCTTGCAGGCAGGTCGCGCAGCAAGGAGGAGCAGCTTTCCGAGGCCGCCCTTTGCGTCCTTGCCCCTTCGGCCCATCCCTGGCGACTTGCGCTGGCCAGCGCCGTACGACAAAAAGACCGCGTGGCCTCCCACGGCCCTTGCATCCCTACCGCGCGTCCTTATCGTGCGACTTGCCTGTATGTTTGTGCAGTTTTTCTGGGATTTTGCTGTCGACACGGCAGGACCGTGAGCAGTTCCTCCCCCTCTCACCCTGGAGTTTCCCAGTGGCCTCCGGAGGCTTCGGGCGGCTTGAAAGGCAGTGAAACCTGATAGTAAGGACGCACGGCTGTCCATAGGGCACCCTTGCGTCCTTGCCTCTGCGACCCTTCCTTCGCCCCCCTTTCACTGGCGGGCCCCTCAGGGTGCCCTTGGGGCGGGCGACGTCCTTCGGCCGCGCGGCGGCACGCTTCTCTGGCGGACAGCTCTGAGCATGCGGCCTGGGCAGTGTGCCCTTGGCCGTCTTAAGCGCCTCGCCCTCGTCCTCGTCCGAAGCCGCGGGCCAGGCAAGGCTCCCCCTGGCTGTCCCCAGGCGCGCCGCCCTGGCCTTCGGCCCTCGCCCCCCGCCTTTGGCCGCCGTCCCGTCGGCCGTCGCCTCCTCCCAGCGTGCGCCTCGTCGCCCACAGGCGGGGGCGTGCGCTGGCGCGCCCGCTGCCCCTGCAGCGTGCGCCGCGTCGCCCGCAGGGTGAGGCGCCCCTGAGGGCGCGGACCTGACCAGGGGGCCCCAGCACGTCCTTGCCCTCGCTGCACGCGCCGCGTTGCCCACCCGAGCAGGTGCCCGTTGGTTTTTTGCGCCGCGCCCAGGGGGACGCGCGGATTGTGAGGGTATACCCGTGCGTCCTTGCGTTGTTTTTGCTTGTCGTCTCAACGCCCATTCGGCAAGAAGGAGGGTGGGCTGGGGTGCCCCGCCCTTGTGTCCGCACCGCCCGTCCTTACTCTGAATTTTGACAGCAGGGCATCAAATTGCCCAAATCCTCGATCCTCGATGCCCGAACCTCGATCCTCCTCCCACCTCCTCCTCCCCCTCCCTTCCTCCTCCTCCTCCCTCTTCCCTCTTCCCTCTACCGTCCTTAACTTTCAGAGCACAGCGTCAGCGCTCATGCCACCGTCCCACCAAACCCCCCTCCTTCCCCATCCCTCCTCCCTCCGCCCTCCTCCCTCCAAATCTTCCTCTTCCTCCTCCCTCCTCCCTCCTCCCCCTCCTCCTCATCCTCCTCCTCCATCTCCTGCTCCTCCTCCTCCTCTTCCTCCTCCTCCCTTCCCCCCTTCTGCCGTGCTGCTACGCAAAAGGTCATCCAGCTCCAGGCGCAGCCGCGCCCGGGCCACCTGGCCGCGCAGGCTTCCGAGGCGCTCCGGTGGCGCGCGAGAGGGAGCCGCGGGTCAAGTTGGACGGGGCCAGGAGGAGGATACATCCGTTCAAGAGCGTTCTGGAACGATCTCAGAAGGCCGCGGCGCCCGATACATCCTCCAGAGCCGCCAGGCCTCAGAGATTCTCGATTTATTTTCACCCGATGTTATCCTCGTCCCGGCTTCGTCTCATCAATTTCGAGTGGGCGTCCTGGGAGGCCCTCGTCGCCACCGTTGGATTCGCCTCGAAATTCTGGTCAGAACGCACCCTGGGAGAGGCCCTTGGAGTAGCGGTATCGGTACCTTTTGATTTCCCCAAGTGAGGGAAACGGGTCCTAGATCCTGGGCTTTGCCCAGGGCCAGTCTTTCATCCAGTGTCGGACCACTTGGAGGGCCCCAGGTGCCCGAATACGGCGAAGCAAGTCCAGGACACCTTCTCCTGAAGCACACGCTTTCCCATCGAGCCGTTCACCCCCCAGGACTTGGCCTCCCTGCCAGCACCCGCCGCTAAGGGGTCATTGCACCTCGACCAGACCAGGGGAGAGCGGCTTCCCCGGGGTGGGTTAGGGACTTCCCCTCGGGGCGAGACCCTGTAACCAAGCCCAGATCCTAGATCGCCCCCCCAGGCCTTGGATTGCTTTGCTGAGCATCGGGCCCACCCTGCCCGCACCCCCTCTCGTGCACACTCCCGGGTCCCAGGGAATCTGCCTCCTTGCCGCCTCCCGCCGCGAGGGGGTGCCGCGCGAGGCCTCGAGAACGCCCGCGCCTCGCGCCCCGCGGGGCGCGAGGCGAGGTCGCCCTCGCGCGTGAGCTCCCCTCTCGCCCTGGGGCGTCCCGACGCCTCGCTGTGGCGTCGTGCCCTCCCGCCGTTCAGGCGTCGCGCTTCCTCGCCGCTCAGGCGACCCAGGCTCCTCTCCCAGTGGATTCCCAGACAGTGCACCGCCCCACCGGCTCTGACCCCTTCCCTTGGGTCAGTTGTTCGCCCCAGACTCTCTTTTGATGCGCCCCGGGCCCGAACACCTGCAGCAGAGGCCGAACTACCAATGAACCACGTCCAGATTGAAAAGCAAAAACACACTGTCGGATGAGATCTAGGCAAGCTCACATCCCACTGGGCTTCCCTCCCTGCTGGCGCCTCCCAGACCCTCCTCCTCCTCCTCCTCCTCCTCCCCGAGAATTCCCCAGAACCTCCGAGAGCGATCGAAGACCTCCCTCCCCTGGCAAGGCTTCGGGCTGCGCACAGGAAAGCCTCCCGAGTAGCCCCAGCTGGCCTCGACAGGCCGCCCGAGCAAGCCTGGCCTGTGCAGGCCTGGGCAGGCCCCCCGAGTAGCCCCAGCTGGCCTCGGCAGGCGCCCGAGCAGTCTCGGCACCCTTGCGCCGCCTCGGGCGACGCTCTTCGGGCGCTCCGCGCCCCAGGCGGGGTGAGATTTTGAGGTCGCCCCAGACTGCTCTGGGGGGTCTGCTGAGGCCAGCTGGGGCCCCTCGGGGGGCCTGCTGAGGCCAGCCAGGACGGCTTTCTGGGCGCAGCCCGGAGCCTCACCACCCTCATGCCATCTCCCCCTCCTTCCCTCCCTCCTGATCCAGCTCCACCTCCCTCCCCGACTCCTCCCCCCTCGGGTCGTGTACTATTGCACCCACGCCTCCGATTTGTGCCGGCTCGTGTGCTATTTCAGCCGCTTTCCCTATCTGCGCCAGGCTGTTTATCACATCCCACCCGCACCCGCGCGATCTGAGGCCACGGCCTCCTGCGCCTTGCCCACGAGGGCACCGGGTATTTCCGTGCCCGCTGCCGGCGCCGCTCCGCTCCGCTCTTCCCCTGGGGTGCTGCCAAGGGTGCCCCTGGCCCAAGGTCCCCCCCCCAGGATTTCCAAGGAGGTTCCGACGGCCTCCAGGGCACCCCCGCGATGCCCAGAGGGCTCCGGGGGCTCCAGAATCGAGCGAACAGCTGGGGGCACCTCGGGCCAGGAACACCCTGAGCACCCTCCGACAAGTGGGACGGGCCTCGGGTCGTTTTTTCCAGGTCACCCTTCGAGGCTCGAGCTTCGAGGTTCGAGCTTGGAGGGGTCGACCTTCGAGGGTCGACCCTCGGGGCGCCTTGGGCCAGGGGCACCTTTCGCAGCCCACCGAATCCCCCCCCCCGGCCCGCCGCCCGGGCGAGGCGCGCCCGCCGGGCCCGCTGATCAACGCGAAGCTGAAGCGGGCCGCCGAGAAGGAGGGGGGCCCCTCGCGGCGGGGCCCGCCGCCGCGCGCGGGGCCCGGCAGGCTGGGCCCCCTCGTCGTCGTCGTCGTCGTCGTCGTCGTCGTCGTCGTCGTCGTCGTCGTCGTCAACGTCCACCGTTGCGAGCGCGGCCGCTGTCGTGCGTCGCTCCTTCCTTCCGCCCGGGGCGGAGGAGGGCCCCGAGATTCGTCCTGGCTCTGCGGTTTTTGTTTTTCGCCAGAGGCGTGTTGGGCCCAGTTCGGGCCCCAGGACTAGCACAAATCGAGCCGGCTTGCAGATTCCCCCGGCCGTCCTGTGGTGTGGGGTCCTCCCTTTGAAGAGACAGCACTCCGCGTTCCTCATCACTCCACAATTACACAATGTGAATACTACTCTCCTCCATCCCCTGATGGCGTGCGGAAGATAGCGGGCACCCCTCCGCGTATTGTTTTTTACACAGGATTTCCCGGAGTTGGGTTTTCGCTTTGTTTTTTTCCAAAATCATGCTCTCGCTGAGGCGCGGGCTTCATTTTCGGGCTTCCGCTCGTTCCGAATCGTGCTCCCGCTGCAGCGCTGGCGTCATTTCCCGTGCCATGCCACGGCATGCAATGCAATGCTAGGTTGCGTTCCGCTGCGCGATGCCATGCCTTCAGCTGCAGCTGTCATATCCAGTGCGTAAGTGCCACGTCATGCTATGCCATGCTACGCTTTGATCTTCAACGCCATGCTATGCAATGCTATGTTCGGGGCCGCTGTGAGATGCCATGCTTTGCGTTCTTCACTACGCCACGCCACGCCATGCTGTGACATACTACGCTTTGCGGTGCTCTTCTACGCCATGCCATGCCGTGCTCTACAATGCATTGCGTACCCTTTCGGGATCATTGCCCTGCTCAACATCCGACTGTGCGAGTAGCGAGGGGATCTACGCCATAGTAAGGGATGGGAGGGAGGGGTAGGATGTCAGATATGACGCGGCGCACCTAGCTTGTCTGGAGCCTCCTCCCCCTCCTCCCTTTCCCCATTCGTGCCTCAGTCCTCACACTTCGTGGTGACCCATTTTGGCCGCAGGAGTGTGCCGCATTTCGGTGCGCTCCTCACGCGTCTCATGGTCCCATTGGGAGCTCCGCCGAAGGCCCCAGTGGCAGGGTTTGCATGGGGCACCCGCGTCCACTTCGGCACACTCCTCGAACGTTTCGGGGCCCCGCATTGAGCTCCACCGAAGGCCCCAGTGGCAGGGTCCGCATGTGATGCCCGCCTCCACACCATTCACATTTGGCCCCACAGGGAGCTCCCATTCTTTCCTCTCACCTGATTTGCGGTATTCACGCCTGCATATGGCTAGGTTCTTCGCCAGGATAATTACGCAACGTCGGATATCGGGATCTGTTGTGCGTCTCCTTGCTTCCGCCGAGGAGGAGGAGGAGGAGGAGGAGGAGGAGGAGGAGGAGGAGGAGGACGCAGCCGGTGATCACCGGCATGCATGGTATTCAACTGGCGTGCTATGGTTTTTTCACAGGTGGTGGCTGCGGCTTTCATATAATCGATCCTGCAGTTCACGCGCTTCGTGCTTCTTCTCGTCCTGTGCGTCTTCAAGGTCAGTGGCGTGTCCGTAATCACCTTCTCCCTTCTCGTTGCCCCCTCTCCCTTGAGCCCACAGAGGCCCCCGGACGTCTCCAGAGGCCGTTGGAGACCCCCCAGAGGCCACCCACAGGCCCCCAGAGGTCTGTCCGAGGCACCCAGAGCGCTAGAACAGGGCCGAAAAGGTCCCAACTCTTCGATCCTCGAGCCTCGGTCCTCGAGCCTCGGTCCTCGAGCCTCGGTCCTTGGCCCTCGGTCTTCGGTCCTCGGTCCTCGGTCCTCGGCCCTCGGTCCCGGGTCCCGGGTCCGCCATCCTCTCCGCTCCGCACCCCGGGGCTGCCGCAGGAGGCCTCCTTCCTGAAGCACGTCGGCGGCCTGGAGCACTGCGTCTCCGCGTTCGACTTTGCGATCGAGGATTCGCCGCGGGCGGGGCAGAGCAGGAGGAGGAGGAGGAGGAGGAGCAGGAGGAGGAGGAGGAGGAGGAGGAGGAGGAGGAGGAGGAGGAGGAGGAGGAGGAGGAGGAAGAGGTGACGCTTCAGATGGTCATCGCCTAGGAGCCTGCCTAAGAGAAATAACGAGGAGGAGGAGGCGGAGGAGGAGGAGGAGGTGGAGGGGGAGGGGGAGGGGGACCAGGAGCAGGAGCAGGAGCAGGAGCAGAAGGAGGCGGAGGAGGCGGAGGAGGCGGAGGAAGAGGAGGAGGAGAAGGAGGAGGAGGAGGAGGAGGAGGAGGAGGAGGCGGAGGAGGAGGAGGAGGAGGAAGAGGAGGAGGAGGAGGAGGAGGAGGAGGAGGAGGAGGAGGATGGGGTAGGAATGCAGCTCCCACCACCACATCGAATGCCACCAGCGTCCAGCGTCCAGGAGGATGAGGAGGAGGAGGTGGGTATGGCAGATCCGACCAGCGCATCTAACGCCACTAACGTCCAGCGTCCAGGAGGAGGAGAAGAAGGAGGAGGATGAGAAGGAGGATATACCAGATTAAACCGAAGGTGTATCCGCGAGGCTGCAATGCACCCTGTCGCCCCCCCACGCCAGTCCCTGCAAGCATTGCTTCGTTCACTGTGGGAAGCGCCCCCTTGATAGGGGGCCGCCCCTATGGGCCAGCACTTCAGGCAGGAACTTCGTTTTGAAACAGATTGCCTCCATGTTTCCAGCCATGAGGGATGCAGCAAGATGGGGTTACCATAAAGCTCACGGATGCCAGCCCCGTTCGGACGAGGAAGCGCTTTCTTACTATCCGTATAAGTGACAAGTGTAACACAGTTGTACATGTGTGCCAACAGGTAGTGAGGAAGTGTACGGCGACAATACCATTTTGAGATCGATCGGCCCTCCATCCGTGTAGCTGATCTTCAGGGGGGGTGGTGCGCGGATCCAAAGCGAGTTCCAACGTGTGAAAACAGTTCGCACTCTATCCGTGCAGCTGCCGGGTATGTGTAGGATGAGTCTACGCAGCGGCATGACGAGACCACCGTTTTTGAAATCAGCCCGCCCTCCTCCCGTGTATCCGCTGGAAAGTCTCTGCGCTTTGCGTATCACCACCAGCCCATTCAGGTGCCCATGAGAGCTGACGGGAAATGGGAGACATAGGCATACATATTGTGAACCAAAACGGGCAACCGCGGCGGAGGAGGAGGAGGAAGAGGAGGACGAGGACGAGGAGGAGGAGAATATGGACGACGACGACGACGAGGACGAGGAGGCGACATACAAATATTCAGAGGAGGACGAGGACGAGGATGACCACGCGGGCAAGGACCAGGAGGAAGACGCAGACGACGACGAGGCGGACGAGGACGAAGTGGATGACGAGGATGAGGTCGAGGAGGAGGACGAGGAGGAGGATATGACAAAGTTTGAGGAATTGGCGGATGTACCGACATCCGACGGAACCGCAAAGCCCCAGAAGCCGAACCACCGCAGGAGGATGGACGGCTTCCCACGATATATGAGGAGTCGGAGGCTGACCTCGAGGCACACATTATGGAACTGTGGTGTACAGAACTACAAGATGAAAGGGAACTACTGGAGACAATACCACTAGAGGATCTTTTCACCGTAACCACGCAGATTATTACAGAAAACACTGTGCTGATCATTGTAGCTGAAGAACAGCGGGGGCACCTGCCTAAGTGGGGACACCCGCACGACTCCGACATCGAGGAGACGTATCATGTCCCACTGTGCTGCACGGTCGAAGATTACAGTTACGGGCTGTTCTTTGACGAAAATGGACAATGTGTAGAACTCTGCTTCACGGCAGAAATGTCAGAGGTAGTCCTGTCCGAACAACAGCACAGGATATTAGATGCCGACCGCGTGACCACCGTGCGAATAGATGTTGCCGCCGCTGCGACGCGAGCTGTGGTCGTCAAGGGAGACGACCTCCTCGCGAAGGTTGGGCGAATCCCGAGAAAGTATCGAAAGCCGTATACACTGAACGCATGGCATGGTATGACAACAAGTGCTTCAATATGCAAGCTGTATCTAAAGCGTCAAACATCATGACTTCGAGGTATGCGTGCAAATGGAAGTTTGTGAAGAACGAGAAGGGCGAAATGGAACGTACCACCGGATTACGATTGGTGCTCCGAGGTTTCATGGACCTTGAAGCCTTTGATGTGGAAACCTTTTCGGGCACAGCGCGGCGGTCAAGCCAGAGACTACTCGCTGGCACGGCAACGCGCAATAAGCAATGGATCATTGCTTCCCTCGGCATCAACATGGCCTACGTGAAAGGGTTGGCCTACCGGGAACTTGCTGAGGAAACTGGTGAGAAGGATTGTGTGGCGTGTCTTACTCTGCCGCCTGGATCGGCTACGGTGCTTCGATCTCGCCCAGGATTCGAACGCTACGACGAGTCTAAGCACTGCTTGCAGTGCCTTAGGCCAGGCACTGGCACCAGGGACGCACCTCGAGCATTCTCACGTAAGCTCAGAAGGACCACGAGAGGTTTTGGTCTCAGATCCACGTCCTACGACGAGGAGTCCGAGACGAACAGTGACCTGATCACGGCTAAACATGTTGATGACGTCAATATGGCCGGCGCAGAGGGCACCATTGACAAGGGCGTCAAGTGCGTGGAAGACACCTTTGGTCATTGTAAACTCAAGAAGCACACGTGCACCAATTGCGCTGTGAGATGTACCGAGGACAAGGGCGGTAGTGTTTGTTTGGGCCAAGACGACTACATCAAGCAGCTCCGTCCTATACAACATCCTGAACTTACAGGCGCCGACGCTCACGCCCAAACACCCAAGATGGTTGCAGACATGTTCGCCAGCCTTAGAGGCACACTAACGTTTGCAATAATCACCCAGGTGTGGTTGATGGTGTATGTTGTTTCTCTGCAGCGTGTCCAAGAGCCGGCCACCATACAAGTGCGACGAGTGAACGCGATTACCAGGAAACAGCAGGCCTGTCCTAAGATGATCGTCTACCAGGCGATGACCCCCGCAGGCGAGGTTGACCTGCACAGCGACTCAGGTTACCGACGCCTGAGTGTAGATGCCGATGACGAAGTCAAAGGCTATGGCATTCGCGGGGCAAGCCTGCTACGGCGTGGAAGCACGCTATCCGGTAAGCCCGTCGTTCACTGGACCGATGCGTACTGCAAGTCCCGCCGCTTGCAGGTCCGCTCGAGCTATTCAGCAGAGACACTAGCAGCAGCTGGGCTCCACGCAGGGCCGCTAACTTCCACTCAGTTGAAAGACATACTTGTGTTGGGTGGCCTGAGCATCGAGGTCACTTTGACCATAGATGCTGAGTCTGTGTTTTAGTCCTTGTCAAGCAAAGACTTGAAGACGTCGAATGAGTGAATCCTTTTAGGACACATCAGCTGGATACGACAGATGATGGAGCGAGGATTCGTGCGCAGTATTCAGGTCATGGGAGGTACACAATCCTTCAAACATGACTTAAAGCGTCATACTCCCTATCGGGCTGGCCAGGCATCTCTTTCTGTAGCCGCCTGAGGAGTACTCGTGTGCCCAACATTGTGCAGGCGAAGCAACTTGCGTGCGGGTCCACCTTCATTACGGTCCCGCCCTTTTGCTCCCCCTTCTGTACACAGTCGCTGCTGTACCTGCTTTATAGAGGCGGCGGGTTCATGCTTCGTCTCCCCCCCCGACTCTAAAGCGAGCTGGGTGTTGCACGTGAGTGGGCACGAGCTTGCATCCGGGGCTGCTTGGCTCAAAGCGGCCGGCCGCCCAGATCTGACTACGCGTCAGTGCGAGATGTATATTGGCCATCGCTACCAAAACTGCTTGAGATGGTTCGCCTCCTACTAATGGGACTGCCGCTACTACGGTACAGCGGAGCTGGGTATTTGCGTCGCCTAAGGCGAAGCTGCTGGTTGGGCCTCCCATCCCTTTGTCGAACCGATGATGCTGATGATTGTGTTGATGATGGTGATGCTGCTGATAATTGCACTGCCATGGTTGCTGGTGGTGTGGATGTGGATGTTGGTGACCGTGATGCGTATGCTGTTGTGACTGGATATGATGCAGGTGGTGATTAGGATGATGATGGGTTTGGTGGTGAGGATGATTGTGCTGTTGAAGGTACGTATCATGGCGATGATGATTCGGATGATTAATATGGCGATGGTGATGATTGTAGTACTTGTGCTTTGGCATGCTGGTAGCGATGGTAATGGTGTTGCTGATCATGGTGTTTCTAGTGGTGATTTTGAAGATGATGATGCTGATGCTAATACTGGTGCTGAGGCTGATGAGGTTGTGGTTGCGGTGGTCGTGGTGGTGACACGATTTCATAGTGATGATAGGGATGATGACGATGATGGTGGTGATGACGATGCCCATGACGAGTATCATGATGCCAACATGATCAGCACTGCTATCATGCTGTACATGGTGGCGGTGGTGGCGAGGATACGGATGAGGATCAAGACGCGGGTGCGGATGTGGATGAGGATGGTGATATTGATGATGATCCTGATGATTACGTTTGATGCTGATGCTGATGAGGATGGCGATGACCAGGATGATCAGGATGATGGTGATGATGATGATGATGAGGAGGAGGAGGAGGAGGAGGGTACTGAAGGGAAGGGGGACGGGTAGGAAGTCTGATTAAACGGGGGGATCGGGAGAGGAACGTGGGAGGAGAGTCTGAGGCCTCCTTTGGGCTCCCCTGGGCCGTCTTCGGGCCGTCTTGGAGCCCCCGTGGGCAATCTTGAGGGCCGTCTTGGTGGCTTCTTTGTGACGTCTTGGCGACGTCTCGGAGGCCTCTTAGACGCTGCTTGCCCCTCGTCCTCTCCCGCGCCCTCCCTGGAGGGCACCCTCGCGTACATCGTCATGGAAAGGTGCGACCTGACGCTGCTACGCCTGCTGGAGCAGTTGCCCTCCCTCCGCGAGGCACCCCTCGTGGATGGGTGGCAGGATCCTAGGTCTCTTCGCTGAGGACTTGACGACTTCTGTTGCCCCTCGATTCGGTCTGGAGAATCCAGGATATGATCCAGAGGTCTCTGCACTCACCCTTGATATATTTGGAACTGCGTTATTGTCTGTGGAGTTGCCTCGGGTTATCTGGCTTGATTCGCGCAATGCGAGTGGAGAAGAGTCGTCAACCCTTTTGGATCTCTGGCGACACCAACAGCAGGGGTCGTTTGGGGATCGCTTGTTCCTCCTCGCACTCCTCTTCTCCTCCATTTCTTTTCTCAGCAAGAACTCTTCCTTGTCGTACCCCCAGACGTGTTGGTAGGGCGGGTCGGGTTTGCTGACCGAGACTTCCTCACCACTTAATGCCAGAGTGTGGGTCGTCATCGGACTAGAGCTTTCGCCTCAGCGCCGCGCAAATTCGTCCTGAAAGCTTTCAGCAGTTTCACGGGTGTAGGGGGGATGGTTTTCACAATGTGGCTCTCGCCTTAGCGCCGCGCGCATTCGTCGTAAACGATTGCCGCCGTTTTCAGGATTGGGGGGGGATGGGTCGTTTTCAAAGTTTTGTTCTCATTTGAGTGCCGCGCGCATTCTAACATGTCGTAGCAGTTTCCAGGCCGGAGGGAGCGGGTTCCTTTCCAAAATGTGGAGCTCGCCTCAGTGCCGCGCAAATCATGTTAACAGTTTGCAGCTTTCCATACAGGCGGAGTGCGATTCCGTTCCAAAACTGCGCTCCTTCTTTCGCACATTCGTCTTGAACGTTTGCAGCATGCGCATATCTTGTGGACGGTTCCTTTTCAAAGGGTTTTGCTGATTGATTTTTCTCTGAGACCGGGTTGACCGAAGGCCAGAGGCTTGAACCCGTGCATTAGCTGCACGGATGAAGGGTCGCCCTTTTGATTATTGGGCGTTCGCGTGAGACTTCTCAGGGTTTTAAGACCAGCAGCTTGAGCTTGCGTGGTGCGGCTGCCTGGACGGAGGGCGACTTCGTGTGAGTATTGGGTTTTCGCTTGGCCAGGAGGCAGGGCTCGTGCAATGGATACGCGGTCCTGGTCCAAAACGGAGATGTCGGTGGACACCTCGCTGAACTGCGCTGTGTGAGCATACCTTTGCGCATTCGGAAAAAAAAGGCTGCTGGTTCCGTTTCCATCCGGGGCTCTCGCCCGAAAGGCAGGCCCAAAGGGCGCTGGGCGTTCGAGTGAGCACTTCTGGACGTGGCGAGAGTGGCTCGCAGGGACTTGGGAGGAGGGACTTGGGACGGGCGAGGGTATGGCAGTATCGTTTTCTGCATCTTGGGCCTGCTCTGGTCCTCCTCATCGTCCTCCCTCTCTTCTCTATATCCCCCCTCCGGACGGGCGAGGGTATTGCAGTGTCGTTTTCTGCATCTCGGGCCTGTTCTGGTCCTCCTCATCGTCCTCCCTCTCTCCTCTGTATCCCCCCACCTCGTCCTCCTCGCATCCCTCTCCCCTCGTTCTCCCCCGCCTGCCTTCTGTTCTGGGTTTCAAGGCCGGCCGACTGCACTGGGGATGCGCCGCGCCGTCGGTGGTCTCATCATCTTCGAGCTCGGAGTCAGTTTCTGGGCCCCGGGGCCGTCGACAGAAGCGACTCGAGATACATTGCTTGGCCCAGGGGAGGTGTCGGGGGGCTCAGGAGACATGCGAATCGAACGAATTGAGTCGTCGGAGGTCTGGGGAGGGAGGCTTTTGCATTGTCTGAAGGATTTTCCCAGGTTCTGAGGGTCGTCAAGATTTTTTCAATCACCCACGTGTGCCTGATATCTGAACGTACTCTGAGAGTACCCCCATCCCACGTCTTGGGAGGCTCGAAGTGTCAGGAGGGGGATGAGGAGGAATAATCTAAGAAGAAGATCTGATGAGGGTTTCTGGCATTTTTTGGGGACGTCCAGGTGATTCGGATGGCTTTGCACTGATTGCAGGGGGGTGGGGTTGTAGAAAGGCCCAGCAGGGAGGACGAGCGGGTGGACGAGGAGGAGGAGGAGGAGGAGGAGGGCCAGAAGGAGGAGGAGGAGGAGGAAGGTGCGTAGGAAGATGGGGCTGGAGGTTATAGCTCGTTTTCCAGAAACGATTTTGCCGGTTCGTGTGATGCTCGGTTCCCTTTGCGGGTAACTTGCTTTGTGTGTGGCTCTTTACGTACACTTGTTTGGATTGTTCGGAGTTGCAGTTTCGTTTATTCTATCTTTTGTAACGGTATAGTTGGTCCGCATCCGTGCCCATATAAGTTCGAGTGGCCACGCAATTTATCGAGGTTCACCCGCCCCACAACATGTCCCCACCAATCCGCGTTTGGCCAATGGACAATTGGGATGTCGAGAGGGCAGCTTCTGTAGTGCGTGAGACCGTTCAGAAGCCTAGATATTGCATCCCCATCGCATGTATATTCATGCCTTGCTTCATCATGTCCATTTGCGCACTGGCCTCAATCCACAATTTGGATCCTCAGCAGCAGTTGCTTGTGAAGGATCCAAGCGGCTATTGGGTGCGGAATGGGCCTTGGAGTGGTTGCGTCATCACACACCGCGAGAAGGTTGTCCGATCGGGAACACTGCTCGAACCTAAGCAGTATGCGGTGGTGAAGAACGTTCGGACTGGCAGATCTCACAACGTTGTTGGCCCTCAATTTCTGTTTCTCGGACCTTATGACACACTGGTCGGCGTGAAGAGCACATTCGTGCTGCTCAAGGGGCAGTACGTCCGTCTGGTCGACCAGGCAAGAGGGACGCAGCGAGTTTTGGTGGGCCCGCAAGCCGTGGTCCCTGAGCCCACCGAGGTGGCTTCTGCGGGGGTGCAGCAGGCGCATTTTTTGGATGCAGATACTGCACTTCTCATTCGGGACAAGCAGACTGGGATGCAGACGCTTGTGGCCGAGGCCGGGATGTACACCCCGACTGTTGACGAGGAGGTCATTGAAGAGCGGCATCTTATTCATGTTCTCTCATACGAGGCCCTGGTGATTCGGGATGCGAGGGGGCAACTTATTCTTCACAGTGGAGCGGAAGGCGATGGCACGGGCTCTGCTTTCTTTCTACCGCCGTACCACGAGGTCGTTGAAATGCATTGGTCGAATTTCTCGAAGCCTCCAGACCAGCAGACCATGAGCAAAGATCTTGTCACGAGGGTTGACATGCGTTCTAGGAGGATGCGTTTTGCGTATGAGGTGCGCACGAGCGATAGCGTCACGCTCGTACTTGAAGGCACAATCTTCTGGCAGATCAAGAACCTGTCCATGACCCTCGCTGCAACTGCCGACCCTGAGGGTGATGTCTGGCACCACGCCAGGAGCTCTCTAATCCAGTCTGCCAGCAAAGTCACGCTGCAGGCATTCATGGCAGGATTCAATGTCACTGTCGCGGAGGCGTTCGGTACGCAAGCGGCGGACAGCTTCTACTCGGAGCGTGGCGTCGAGCTACAAAGCATGGAGGTGACGAAGTTTGACTGTGCGGACTCGGAGACAGCTGTGATCTTGCAGTCGATCATCCAGGAGTCTACGAACAAAATCAACAAGTTAACGGTGCAGGCGAGCGAGAACGAGGTGGCGGCCGCCGCATTGAATGCAGAGATCCAGCTCGCAAAGCAGAAGACCGAGCTCATCGAGACGGAGGCGGCTAACCTGCGAATTCAATCGATGAAGCAGGGGGAGGCCGAGGGCTTGCAGCTAGCGGGCGACGCCAACGCCTTCATTGCGGGCCTCGACCAGACCATCCCCGATGTGAACACCCGTGTAGACCTCTACACTCTCCGGCACCAGCTGCGTAGCAGGAACACGGATACGCAGAATCTTGCGTCCGGAACGGCGCACCTCTTCGTCGCACCCGAAGATTTGAGCCTCAAGCTCAACGTCGGCTCGGACCAGGCGGGGCACGCGACAGACGAGTCCTAAGCAGTACCAAAGCGATAATTTGAATTTTCCTTCGCGAACGCACTCGTGATGTTTCGAAGTCCAGCGCCAAGCAGAGGTAGGGTGTAAGGCCCAGGCAGGCTACGGCATGCTGGCGGGTCGCCGTGCCTCTCGCGCTGATTGCCTGCACAGGGCCGGGCGTGCTAAGTCATGCTTGCCACATGCTTTTCCCCCCGTCAGGTTGCTGCTGTCCAGTTTTTTCTGCATCAAGGGCACATCGCGCGAGCAATGTGCGCAGCTGGCCATGGCCATTCAGGTATGTACCCCCCCCCGCCCCACATGGGAAGCCCACGCGACTCCTCGAGCGCGCCATCATTGAGGAGGAGAGACGGTATGCCCACGGAACCGTGAAATTTCTTGGCTCTCCCTTTGGCGTGTGAGCTTCCAGGTAAGGTGAGCATGGCGTGCAACAAGCATGGGTATGCCGAGTTCCTCGTGGGGTGGATAGCGTAAGGGAGTGCAGAATATGAGCCTGCCAAGCGCTGGGCGTTGTGGGAATGGATCGCGCTAGGTGGCTGTTTCGGCGCGCGTGGGGGGGGTCTGGAACGGGCCGTCGCGGAGTGGCATGGAGAGGGTGTTTCTCAAGCAATTTGAAGTATTGAAGAGGCTCGCGACATTCCGACGGCCCCTGGCATGCAGACAGAGAGTACGAGCATAGTTTGGGTTGCACTGTTTGCCCGAGCATCTTGGAGCGCAGGAATCCAGGAATACGAGTAGCCATGCGATGCCGAAAAGGGTCAGGCAGGGAAGGGTGGAGGTGAGGAGTGGGGTGGGAAGATTGCTGGAAGTCCTTCTGAGCATGTTCTCAGTGTTCAGCCCTCTGCAGAGATGTACGCTGTGATATAATATTTGGTCATCCCTGAGGGGCGAGAGACTCTGGAGGATTTATATGAAGGCGAAGGAGGGGTATGAGTTGATGAGGAAAGCAGGGGCGCCCTCGAGGGCGCGAAGCTGTTAGCGCTTGGCGCTCGCGGTTCGGCTGCGATTCCTCCTCCTCCTCTCGTCCCCCGCGGCGCGGCGCGAGAGCGCAGCGTTATTCGTGCTTCGCGCTCCGCGCAGCGCGATGCGCGAAGTTAGGCGCCCGTTGCCAAAGCAGTAGGGGCACCGTCGCTGGAATACGTGCCGCGAGGTGCGGTGAGAGCATAATCCTCGAGTGGCTAGCCTTTTGTCTTTCCCTCCAGTACTGTCAACAGCAGGAGGGAGTAACCAGTGAGCCCGCAAATTCGGAATCGCCGCAGGCCCCAGGGGGGCAACTAGCACACACGTCTCTCAATGAGAGAGTGCTGGGTGTCTGGTCTAGATGTGCTTGACACGTGCGGAACCGAACATTGGTCCCGTCCTGTGGCCCTCGCTGGAACTTGCAGTGCGATCGTTGGGCCCTCTCCAGTTCCCTTGGGGGTCTCTCGTCGGCTCTCGGGGCCATCCTGGCGTGACTTCAGTGGTTCCGAGGCTCTTGGGGCCGCGTGGGTCTTGGGGCCGTCTGGGGTCAGTCTTGGGCCGTCTTGGACCCGTTTCGCTGCCGTCTTGGCGGCCAGCCAGGAGATCCTGGGGCCATCTGGGGCACTGCTGGGGCTAGTTTGGGAGTGTCTTAGGCTACTTGACAGTCTTCCGCAACGTTCCAAGACCCTCTCGGAGGCGGCAAGGCGAGACAACGAAGCACAGGATCGTTTGTTACCAACCATCTCGATGTGTCGGGACTTCGTTTTGGATCCGCAGCGCCGCACCCCACCTCTTTCTCCTCCTCCCACCTCCCTCCTCCCATTCCTGTCTCTGCCCTTCGCATGTTATCACCACCATCGTCGTCGCCGTCACCCATTAGTGACCGCAGGGGAGGGTCACCCGAAGGCCCCAGTGGCAGGGCCCGCATGGTGTCCCTCCGCCCATGTCGGCAAACCTCCTCACATGTCGTGGTCCCATGGGGAGCTCCCCCGAGGG